AAGAGGCCCCGGCGGCCCCGGGCCCGGAGGGGGGGGAAGCCGCCGTGATTCCTCGTGAATCCAGGGATGCCAGGGAGCCCAGCGAGCCTGAGGGCGCGGGGCTAGGTCGCAGGGCGCCGCAAAGCCTCTGCTGCCTGTGTAGTGGTGGCTCATCCCAGAATAGACCTGGTGCTTCGTGGGGTTTTCTTGCAGGTAGTAGCCAGGTTAAGACATAAAGAGTTTGATTTTATGATTAAAGATGGTTGAATGTGTGCAGATTCCATTTTGCGTCAGTCTGTATTCTGCAGTAAAGCAAGGAATCGTTAAGACATGCCTGCTGCCCAGCAGCACGCTGGTTTGTTGCTATATGTTCTCAAACTCTTCAATTTTCTTTATCCTCTTACATAGCAAAGAGTCCTGCTGATGGTACCCCGAGAAGACCTGTCTTATCGGTCAGTGCAAGAAAGATAAAAGATAATGCGGCGGACTGGCATAATTTAATCATGAAATGGGAGAGACTGAATGATAATGGATTTACTACAGCAAACAAAATTGTCAACATGAAAATCAGTGAGCAGTAAGTATGCCAGTGATACCTGCAAGTAAAGACAGAGCAGAGGTTGCCTTTATTGTGAAATTAGTCTATGAGTCTATGCCCTTTACTAGAGGGCTTTTTTCTTTATTTCTTTATTTATTTTTTATTTTTTTTAAAGAAAAGAAAGAATATGTCAGAATGGATCAACTAGTTCCTGGATCAAGCTAAGCAGTTGTACTTTTTGGTTACATAAAATATTTAGATTGAAATAAGATTTAAATGTCTTATAAAGATTAAGATAATCTCATGAGCTAATGATATTTGCAAGAAACAAGAAATGTAATGAAATTTAAAGTTAGATATAATGGATATTTGAAATACATAACAGAGCTAGAATGAAATACATACAGGGCAAGAATGTAATCCTGTCATCTTTACTTATGTGAGTTCCCCTACTCTCCCATGTATTTACTCTGAAGTCAATATTATCAGTTTCCACTAAGGTTAAGAGTTCAGCAGATTTCAAATAAGAATCAATGAATGACTTATGTAGACAAAAAGTTGTTACAGCAGTGAAGATTTAACAAAAGCAATACTTTTGATACCATCTTCAGGAAAAGGAAAACCTATAACTGACAGGATTCTAATGGATAAACTCTAATATTTTGCTGTAGAGCTGTCAGATCTTGCTTTCCCTCTGTCAAATTTTACAGCTTCTAGGGGAAAGTTATCAAGATAGGACATGATACGTGCCAGCACCTTCCCTACTTGCACCTCACAGCCAAGTATCTGTGCTTAAGCTGTCAGCAAAGGTGCATTTGTGGAAAGGTACCAGGCTGTCAGCTGGACCTGCCAAGGCCTGGGCATACGTTGTACCCTGTCACTGTGAGTAGTCACTATGAGTAGCATGAGCAGTGACACAGAGTAATTCAACATTCCTCTGGAAGTTATGGCACCAGCTCAACGGATCTCTCATTGCCAGATAGGTCACTTACCTGCTTTCATGTAGGATTTCTCATGCACAGCTTGTGTGAGAGACATTGTGCCGATGACGGGGATTTTAAATCTCTACATCTCAGTAAACCTGTATGCAGTGATTTGAATTGTCTTGTGCTTCTGTTTTAGATTTCAAGATAACAAATTGGAGATAGCCTGTGATAACAGTGCCACAGAGTCTGAAAAGCCACCTGCAAAGTACAATGAAGAGCTGGATAGCTGCTGTGCAGAATTGCTTGAGACCTTTAAGCATATGGTAATTCTTGTTTTGTGATTTTGATCTGTATTTTCCAAGTATGACTTAGGCCAATGACACTGAATGTTGTAAACAGAAAAGTGAGATTTTTAATTATACTTCTTTGGCTTCAAACCTGAATGATTTTAAGTCCAGTGTGCTCTGTTTATTTGCTCGATTGGTAAATCTGAAAGTTGGTTTTACATCTCCTGGCTATAGCTTATTCCTTCCATCATAGTGTCTATGTAATGTGCTTTTCTGAAAAAGAGTCCATCAAAGATCCATTCTAAAATTGCAACTTCTGTCTTTTTCTCGTCCTGAATAATTCCTCCATTTAAAACAAGTTTATTCCTGCTTTCCTAAAGCAAATTTGTCTCAAATTCTGTTCTCTGTGAAAAATATACTGGCAATTTGAGGGTTTTTCGTTTGTTTGCTTGTTTGTTTTTTTCCTTGAGGTAAGTGTTGCATTCAGCCTAGCAAGTGGGTTGATGCAGTTTTTCGTTATTTTTCAGTAATAAGATTATGAGCAGTCTGTGTTAGATTGGATACTGAATGCAGTTGCTACATACATATTTTATTTTTCATTTCTCATAAGCATATACTAGTTTAAGCATTTATATAAATATCTGTATTTCAACTTCTTGACATAAAGATACTGTCTTCAAGCTCCATTTTGTTTCCGAATATTAAGCCCCTTAGGTGACGGCAGAGTCAGGTGAACACAAAGGAAGTGGACAGAGTGACCTTCTTTTCACAGCAAGCTGCTAAATGAGCCTAGATACATTCTCAGTCATAGACTGAGCTGCTTTTCGCAGCCGCAGCTGATCTTTAGAAATGAGACTTAAGTCCCATTGGCATGGCAGCATTAAGAAGCATGTTCTTGCAGGGATTGTGTTGCACCTGTTCTTTCATATGAAGTTTGATGTTCTCCCACAGTATTAAATTGCTATAGGAGAATAACTAGAGAGGGGAAAAATGAGAGAGGACTTTAATTTCTACATGGGAAAATAAATATGCAAAATCAGTCAGTATATCCTGTCTGTAGTGTTTGGAAATGTAGGGTATCTCATGTTAAATCTGTGTATATATAAATTCTGTGGCTGAAGCTATCAAGTGAGAAATATTGTGTTTAAATAGGGTCTTCAGAAATTATGTGCTATAAATAATGTTTAAGATAAAATGTTCCTTAAGTGTTCATTAACATCTTTGTTATTATCAGACAAAAATACAACTCAAAATGGAAAAGCTGTGTTCAACTACTAAAGGAATCTGTGACTTGGAAGCATTCCACCACGGAGGTGGGAAATGTGCAGCGCCGCTGTTTCACACGTGGCCCACACCATACTTCTGTAAGTAAAACACCAATCATCGTAGCTGAAGCATTGCGTCCCTCACGTAACCTAATTCAGGAAGACTGAAAAATAAACCCTTTTGTTTGGATATCTGTGTTTGTCTGTGGGTGAGGGAGAAAATAAATGAATCCTTATCTTTTATGATGGACTAATTAATAAACACATGAGAGTGTCACTGGTCTTAGGGTTACTGCTGCTCTTATGAACTGTTGGGCATTGTCTGACATACAGCATTTACAGACATAGTTATAAAGCCTGATCCAGTTAAAACTAAAGCTGCCAGCAACTTGCGGTGTCCACAATGAACCAGCCATGTCTTTTGTAAAGAGACATGCTTGTAACGTGATAGGATTACGCTATAGTCTATGCATTACCTTGTTACTTGACACTGAAATTACATCCTTGCATGCAAAGAGCAAAAGAAAAATACCTCTGACCACAATGTTAACCAAGTAAAGAAATGTTCAGTTACTCTCTGCTGATAGGGTTCACTTGATGGCAAGAAATAGGCTCTTTTGCTCTTCCAAAAATTTAAGAATGACATGAAGTTGCCAGACTTCCAGTCTGTGTGCTTCCCAGTCTGTGTTACTGCAGTTTTAAAGCTGTTTGAATTTGAGAGGCCTGACTGCATGCAAAATGACTGGAGCTTTGGTGAAGTGGAACCTATTCTTTTGTGCAGCCCTGTTCCTTACTTCACTACCATGAGTTAGCAGCAATCGTGTGCATTGATTTCTGCCACCTTAAAAGGGTGACCGTGACAAACGCAAAAGTATTGAAACAGTCATTGAGATTGAGTCATTTAGTGATGTTCTGTACTTCTTGGATGACTAATTCACCCCCAAAATAGTAATGGCTCTGTCTAAATAAGAAAAACAAGATCAATCTGTCATTAAAAATAAGTCGTTTGGTTCTATTTTAGAAAGTCAGATAATTAAAAAGATCATTATATAAATATATTTAAAAGCTCCTACCAGCATTACTCAGAAAAATAGTAACAAAATTGCTTTTTGCATTAGGCTTTTAAGTTTTGATCTGTTTTGTTGTATTTACCATTATTCTTCACTCTAATGGTATCATTTACATGACTTGCATGATCACTAGATCTTGCATTCCTAAAGTGCATGACAGCATGTGAAGAAAACCTTACATTAGCTAAAATCATAGTGTCTCTAAAATACAAAGTTTTTTTTCAAAATAGCTTTACAAAATTTGAAGACCAAATTTCAGTTATTTAAAAGAATGGCTGTAATTTCTAATTTTACAGCAAATTTTGAGACCCAATACTACTGCTTATTTTAGAATTAAAAGAGAGATTTTTATATAAAAAACAGAAGTATTTAAAAATATGTACAAAAGATGAGGGAAATGTATAGTGTTTTTTATTTCAATCTGCAGGGTGTCTGAGTGTAAAAAAACAGTGGAAGATCTTGTATATCAAGTCAAGGGTTTTTTAATGGTAACAAAGCACAAATATAATTGAACTTTTAGGGAACTGCTGATCTGTTAGGATTAATGTGCTTGGTTTTTCAATCCCTTTTAGATGAGGTCTCTCTGAAGCTCTCTGAAATGTACAAAGAGGAGCTACAACTCAAGCAAATAATTGTACAAGATATTGCTCATTCTGCTGACCAGGACCTGTTGATGGTCTATTTATCGTCATGGTTATACCAGCCTTACATTGAGAACAACAGCAAACTGCTACTAGAAGCCATGCTGCTGGAAACGGGACACAGGCCGTGCTAGAACTGCAAATGCTGCTTGGCTTGTTTCTGAAGAAATGGCAAGTTTGCAAGGCTCACCAAGCACACTGAATTTTTGTAAAAATTATTAAAAATATTTTTCTCTTTTTGTACTTATTATGTTGTCTCAGCTAATATATTTTTTTTTCTGCATGAGACGATCTCTTTTCAGTTTACTTTATCCATCTAAAGTTTGTTTGGCTGTGATGCAGCTGTCACGTAAATTTTTCCCATGATGTTAAGTGCTTTGCACAGCTTGTCATCTAAAAGAGAAGTATCTGCTGTGCAGTTTGTAGGAATGTCATCTGATGCTGTTGTTGATAGTTTGGTGCATAGTCTGAGAAGTTGCTAGACAGAAGTGTGAGTCCTGGTTTGGCTCAATTACACCGTCACTCTTGAGGAGGGATCCCAGGCTGAACCAGTACATTGGGCTGGTTTAGTACAAGGCAGTAGGCCTTACCATTATATAAGCCATTATCTAAAAAGATTTTAGCTCTTGTAACCTTTGTAATCTTCTTCTTTGGAGATGTTTCATGAAAGCTTCTATTGAATAAAAAAGAAAAGCAGACAGTATCAGACACTATTGTTTGCTTCTTGTCTTATTGTTTGCTTCTTATCATAGAGTTCAGTTAACCTTTCCTTGGATAACTCTTGTCCATTCAAAGGAGAAAATACTCAATGTGAGCATTACCTGCATCTTTTGGTTTGCAGTGTACATAAAAATTCATGCTTTTCTTTTTGCTGCTACTGTTCAAGTATGAGGCTCTGTCTTATGTGGCAAGGAGAGTAGATAATGGGTTTACGAAAAGCTGGACAAAGCAAATGCTAAACAGAACAGAATTCACTACCCTTATTTGCTTTCTCTCCTAAAGATGTGATAATCATTGTAGCATACCACGGTGTCAAGATGGGCAATGTGGAGAAGCTGTTAAAGTTACCAAGCCTTTAATAACTGTTAGCTCTTCTTGCAAATTAGCATTTTTCAGAGAAATGTATTACAAGTTGGAAACTACCTAGCTAAGCATTTGGACAGTTTAGTTAAATCCCTAGTGCACAATGAATTTAGCCCTTCATCTTAGTTCATTATGCTTGATGATCCACATTCCTCCTGTTCACCGTTGCTGGCTGCCTCTGTGATCCCCTAGCACAGACACGTCATTTCATTGCTTCTGGTCACCCCTTTTGCACCATTACGTAGCTCTGCTAAGTGCCATTGACTCATTCCTGTGCCCTGACAAATGCTTACTCTTCCTTGAGTCTTTCCTGGGGGAAAAAAAATCAACTAGAAGACACGCATGAAAAGCATACCACTGAGAAAGTGGCCACAGTCCCTGTGGTTTGACATTAGAAATATCTAATTAAGAGACAGAGATGTGGGGCAGTTGGGTCACTCTGCTAGTTTGTATTTGAATTTTGATATGTGTTGCCTGCAATAATAGAGCAGAGACATGAAGTGGAAGAGTCAGCTTGGTCAGCGAAGAAGTGGTTCCAGGCAGCTTAATAGTGTTTTCTTCTCTCTTCAAATTTCTAGTATTTAAGAAGAAATGCTACTGTAACTCCAGGACTAGAACAATCAGCAATTACTATGGTGAATAATTTTGTTACTTTTTGTTATGTTTCAGTGCAGGAGTTGCATCTAGTTTAACAGCAACCTCAGTTTATCCAAGCGGAGACAGACCTTGTCACTATGGAAACACCAGCACACTTGAAAAAGATTTTGCAAGGAAGGAAGGTCGGTTCCCTTACAGAATTCTGTAAGGTAAGGGTAGGTGTTTCATATTTTCCAGCATGTGCAAGTCAACAGGAGAGGCAGACTTGAAACAAATTTTCATTTTCTGCACAGGTGGAAACTGGCTCATTTTTATTTCTTGGAACAAATAAGCTCTTCCGCAAGGTGCCTTCATCTTTGCAAAGCTCCCTGCCAGCAGCAGGACAGAGGAAGATTACCGCAAAGTCGTAATTGCAGCAAAGACGCTGTTTTGTCATATGATAATTCTAGGAAATTCATCTTTATATTTGGAGCCCTCAGATCTAGACAACCGGTACAAAATGTGTAATAGGAAACAATTGTTCACTATAATCAAACACTAGGACAGATTCCGTATGGTACCTTCACGTGTAAGGGATGTCTCTGCCCTCTAACCCTTGCCACCTATCCCTACCCCCTCAAGCCCTCCCAAAAAAAAGACAACTCACTAAAATCTGACAATACCTTTCAGACTCATGCAAAAAATTGCAATGTTCTGGCTAATCACAAATTAATCTTCTATTTAGGCATCCAGAAAAAAAAGTTACATTAAGGGGATATTATAGTGATTGTTTCATCTAGTGTTTCGTCTCTGAGCTGTCCCTTTTCTCTCTCGTTCAAATTCCCATGTAGAGTCAACATTTCCACAGTAACAAAGCCCCGAAAAAAGTCAATCTTTACACTTAATTGGAGAAGCTCTCCTGCACTGACAGTCTCAATAGCCTCATCCATATTTAGTGATGGTACAACACGCACCAGGTGGTACCAGTTTTCACATGGTGGTACCAGTACTGTGGTACCAGTTTTCAATAATATCTACCCGAGTTCCAGAGGAAAATACGAGTAGTAGTCACTTAATGTTCTCCAAAGGGGAGCAGGGAAGAAAGAGGAAAGCAGCAGCTGTGAGGAAGCATCCACAAAAATACAGTGGATGCTTAGTCTGTTCTTAGGTAAAAGCAAAAACTAGAAAGGTTAGTTAGGCTGCCCCCTTGTTCCTAGAATGCACAAGTGGCAAATGCATTTTAAAATTGCACATTTTTCCAGGCAGGTTATGGGCGTCATGCTAATGAATATTCAAGGTAGCTTTAACAGCAACTGTAATAAAGCCAAAGAGTTTTAGATTCTCAGTGGAACAGAAAACACTTTTTTAATATAGCTTTTATTTTACCCATACACAGTTTCCCAGCACATCATGGCCAAAAAGCAGTAGTTTACTGCATTTTGGATGGCTAAAGAGAAAAGGGACTATGTAACAAAAGGGAATAGTGCAACAGTTTTGAGGTTGACAGATTTCCATCTTCCCCTACCCCAATACATAGAAGAGCAAATAGAATCTTGTTATGTCTATAATTTTTGGTTGCAATGTTACTAAATTTATATAAACATAAGTTATAAAAAGGACAGGGCATAGAAACAGTTTACAAATAAGTTAAATTTCAATTATTTCAGTATTCACATTAGAAAAATATACATTTTATATAGCCAGCCTTTTTCCAGAAGAAAGCATATACCGTTTTCTAATTTATGGCTCCAATTCACTTTGAGAGAGCAGAACTTCTTCACTTTGGCTGTGTGCTTCTATTGCCAGTAGTGCTTCCACAGTTTCCAAAGGTATCCCATGAGGTGTGCGAATGTGCATCGTAGTGCCATCGGAATCAGTCACAATAACAATGTCTTCTGCCTGAGACAAAACAGCAGGATCTGGGTGAGACAAAATAAGTCCATCTGTAGTCTGAATAAAAATCTGTTCGTGTCCCTGAGACAAAAAGTCATGGCTCTCATCAGTAATCTCAAAAGCTACAGTTTGATCTACAGTAACTGCTGCATTCTCCAGCTCCCGGGCTTCCCCTGTCCCACAGGGGAATTCACACATGTTTTCACAAGGGCTTTCATGGCTCACATGAGCAGAGGAGGAGGCATCCTGGACAGCAGTGCTGTGGGGATGCCTTATTGGCACTACATTTGGTACAAAAACTTTTTCCAGTTGCTGCGTCTCAGTGATACCAGCACCGTGAAGCAGTTCAGGATGTTCTTTAATTGCAAAGTTCTGCTTTTCTTCTTGTAGCTGATATTTTCCATCTTCTTCTCCCACTGGCGAGTCGGCGCTCCGCATGCCCGCCGCACCCTGCGCTACAGGGCTGCCGAGGTGGGAAGCTGCCAGGCCAGGCGCCCTGTCCTCTCCCACAAGATGTCCCTGAACTGCTTCTGGGGAGGCACCTGCTCCCGCCGGCAGCGCAGCCTCGCCGCTTGGCACAGTGGTGTCACCTGCAGCACCCACTCCCTGTACAGCTGCGGGCTGGGAATACTCCGCCCTGATCTCCATCATCGGAGAGAAGGCGCCCGCATGTTCAGCAGTGACTCTAGCTTCTGAATCAACATGTGCCTCTGCTGTGGGTAATATGCTTCCCGTCGAGCAGCACATGATATCTCCATCTTCTGAGAGCAAGATTTCCCCATTTAATGGATGAAAACCTAAAAAAGTGAAAAAATACCATTTGGTTGGACCATCTACTACTGCAAGGCCAAAAAAGTAATTTTTCCTTGGAGGAAAAAATAAACTGCTTCTGTCTTTTCCTCCCCACAAATTAGTAAACTTCAAGTGTCTTAAAGTGTCACAGTAGTTCCCATGAGAAGGACAGTATAAAATACTTTTAGCATTTAGATAGTGAAATGTAAAGTCCGTTGGTATGGAGATATTTAATCACATTAGAAGCAGCATTTTTCTGGGAATTCTGAAGATAACCTGGTCCGAAACCAAATTATCTCCATCTGGCACACAGCCAATAACATTAAACAGCAAGGAATGCGCCACAGACAAGGTTGCCAGCTGCTTATCCATGTTACCATTAGTAAATTGACAGACACATTCAAACTAATGAAATTTCTGTTGATATTCAAGCTCAACTGGGATTCAAACGTTACTGATTAACTACCTATCTAGTGAGCTGTGCTAAGAGCCCCAGAACACCTGTTGTTCGGCCTTTGACAGAGAGGTAAAACACTAGATGTTTAAATGAGCGTCCTTTACCAGTCATTGGACATGGACTAAGGGCTCTCAGCCACCCAGCAGGTAGTCAAACAGTAACCTGGAGTGCAGCAGCACACACATTGTCAGTTTGAATTCCTGACCATTAGGAGGAACAAGTACATTTTGCTGTGAAAGAGATCACTGCACAACAAAGGAGATGAGCAACTCAGAAGGGCCAGTTAAGCTCTCTGCACTGGAGACTAGCAAAAGGCCTACCAGCAGGTGCAAATGAAATATTACTAATTAAAAAATAATAAAATCACAGCCCTTGCAAAAATCCTAGTATAACAAGAAATAAGCCTGATGATGCAGAGAAAGAAAAGTATCTTCAGAGAAAAAAAAAAAAAGTAAACTAAAGAAAAACAACTTGAGAGAAAAGCACACAAAGGACAAAAGCAAAGCAGCTTATAGCAAGAGCAAAGCAAGATTTCAGAAAGCAAGAGGATGGCAATGGTAGGTGTCTCTCTAGAGAGGGGAGTCTTTCACAAGCCTGTCGTGATGCCTCTGAATACAGCAACACTTTCAAATAAAAGACCAGTGGAGTTTGGGGAGCTGACAGCAGGGACCCATCTTCCTTTGCTCACTAATCCACTGTTACCTCTGAGGTAGCAGGGAGAAATGGAGAGGAAGAAGGGAGAAGGAAGGGAAGGACATGCCCCCAGGCAAGACTGTCATGCAAAAGGTATCTCAGTTCCCACCTGCAGCTTCCCCATCTCCCGTGGGATGTGGCATCGCCCTTGCCAGCCCCTGCCTTCCCCCAGCATCTATAAAGCCCTGCGGATTCTGTTCGTGCCAAGGGCTGCCGCCTGCTCCTCCCCACTCCTCCCGCGGAACCTGGGACAGGGTCAGGCAGGGCAGGACTGTCACCCCAGCACTCCAGCAAGGAGCATCAATAGCTGAAGTATTGGGCGTTTAACTGCTACTGCCCTTGTGTTAGCGCATCAATGCTTCCCCCCCTCGCCCATGAAGCTTCTTCCATTTAAACAGGACCTTTAGGAAGGACCTGGCAAGCAAGTTGAGAAATTAAACCTTAAGACAAAAACCACAGTAGCTTGAAGAACACAGGAATTTGTTCAGCTCCTCCATGAACAGAAGAGAATCGGTAAATCTGAAGAGGTTACCATCTTTTTCAAACAGTGTACACAAATTTCCACTCTTTGCCTTCACTTCATCTTGACTGGCATAAGCATTATTCACATTCTCCATTACGTCTTCTAACTTGGTCCTTTTGGCTGATGGCAACAGTTCCTCCCCTGAGCTCTGTCAATACAAGAGATAATTAACTGACTGCCACCCACAGCAGTTGGCAATATTGGAAGAGATCACAGACGAACTGTGGGAACTTGCACGCTCTTGGAAAAAGCATTTGCTCTCAGGGTCTTCCTAAAAGGCCAAAGTTTAACACAGCCATCATACTTTTCCAAAATTCCACTGATTTCTTTTGATACCTCATTGAAACAACTCCCCCTTGCTTAAAGATCCAAATGCCTCAGTGAGACACTGGAATTGGCTAAGATGTGATACCTGCTTCAAGCTCCCTCTCCAGCTTCAATAAAAGGCCATGAACAGCTCAGCCAGCACCTTTCAGTTAAGAAGTGAAAACTGATCAGTTCACAAATTTAAACATGAGCAGAAAAGGGGCAAGTGCTAGTTTTATTTCTGCTCCACTAAGGACAACTCTGGGCTAAATAAAAATAGTTGATGGGAAGGACCAAAGAGAAGGCACTCTCCAGAAACAGATTGCTCCTTACTACAGCTGCAGACAGTCCAAAACAGGCTTGTTAGAAGGAAAGGAGCAGTTTCCATGCACCTCTGCCAACCACCAAATTAGTAGAGCAATCACTTCAGCACCTGGGCCTGCTGCACATGAGCCCATTTACTCCATCACAAATCACTAAAAACTGAAGTTCAATATTATGAGGGTTGAGGGGAGAGTGGAGGAGGGAAGGGGCGTTTACTACTGTTAACACGAATTTTCTTGTCTTTATCATGACATCCTGACAAACTGTTCAAATGTCTCCCCAAAATACTTTAGCCTGCTAGTTAAGATGCTCTGCTATGGTACCAGAGTGCAGAGAAGTTCTCTAAATGCTTACAAACTGAACATCATGAAAGTCTTACTATAATACAAGTCCTATAATGGCAGTGTGGCCTTATAAGAAGTATTAATTTAGCAGGCTTTAATTCGTCTTGGTTTCATTTTTAAGTTTTCACAAACATATTCCATACCTCAGCTAACCGTTTTTGTCCCAGTATCTCCACAGGCACTTCCTCACTAATCATTTTAATTGTATGTTGTGAACAAGAGTTTACACCTTGCATCTTTTGTCCTCCAGTGAGTATTTCTGTAAGTCCTAGTGATTCAGCAACCTTTAAAAACAGTTACAGGAAAAAGAAAAAGTTAGCCTTTCCAACCCAAACACATAAATATCAAAATACTGATCTGTTCTCTTGAAAATGAACTAGAAGAGTAATTATACAGAGGTCCAGGCTACCAACTAATCATTACAGCTCAGTGAAGTATTTAGACTCCCATGTTTTCTACTAATTTTCGTATTAATAGAACACGGCCTTCATTTGAAGGTGAAAATTAAAAGGCAAATTTGTAATAATTAGAAGTACTGTGGTTAGATATTGAATCCAGAGTCAGTTACTAAGCACACTATTTCGCGAAGAATACCATCAAGACTCTCCATTATTTACAAACATTTCAATCTTGTGGTTTCTCTTAGAGGCTAAACATTACATTCTTTCCCAAACTCTTTTCCTGTGTTTCAATCCTTATGCAGGTATGCTACTATATGGCTTCCGAAGGTTAATATTTTTTAAAGAACATAATTCTATATCAAGAAGGCACATTAATGCTGGAGAGAAGAAAACAACGTGGCTTCCATTTTAGGTCTACCAACACTGACAGCATCCCTTTAACTGATGCAACTTCTGTTCTCCAGAGGCAAGAATCAGCATTGGTCAATGACAGAAGAGTCAGATGAGCACGCTGCAGTTCTAGAAAGTTTTTTAGTACATCAGTGAATGTCATTTTTCTGAAAAATAAATAGCAACCACTGCCAACAGTCCGTACAGGACTTCATTTCTAGCCCCACTGTTATCAGAACCAGAATCTTATCACTGCCTTTGCTACCCAGAGTTTTCCAGGATGTTCCCTTCTCACAGCAGCTGCAGACACGTATGTGTGCTAGTTCAGAGCAGTATGCAGATGTTGCAAGCTCAGTGCAGAAATGCTTTAATGAGCATGCAGCTTAGAAATTCCTTTGGAGATAATATGCAAAACTGTGTTATTCACTACTGAAAAGGGGAAGGGAAAATGAAGATGTTATTTTACAGGATTTTATTCCAAGCAAGAGGAACGAAGACCAAATAAAGGATAAACAAATCCATATCAAAACCAGAACAAAACAAAAAACAACCCCCAGTGTCTTTCTACCCACAACTAAACCATAGCAAATCTGGAAAGGGTTATTGAAATAACAGATTGCATCTTTTTAATTAAGGCATTCATTACATTTCATATGGTAGTATGACTATGAACTGCACAGAAGCATTCCATTTGTCCTCATTTTGCTCTAACAGTACTTATCCCCTTTAAATCAAGGCTACTTGTTTTAAATATAGACAGCTTCTTCCTAATCAAATATTAAGGTGTACTACTATGAAGAGTTAATGCCAAGCACACGTTGCAGTAAAGTGCAGCTTCATACTGCCCTAGATGTGCAGATACATACCAGTAGGAATACTACTGGAATGGATTTTTTTTTTTGATTGGGTGTTCTTCTGTAAGCTAGAATTGTACCTTTATTACAGGTTTCTTTTTTTTTTCCATGATTTTTTGCTGTACTCTTTACAGTTATCTCCCTTTTTTTAATCAAGAAAGATCCTTTGTTCAAATAATTTGACCTTCATGAAAAAGCTTATCAGAGAGAACTAAAGAGGTACAATATTTTAAAAAGACAAAATTCCCCCACCAAATCACAGTTTCAAGTGGAATGCCTTATTACCTTCAGATCTTTTATTTCAACAGGCTCCTGGCAACTCAACAGATCGGAATTACTAAGGTAATCATAGGCCATTTTCTTTACCATATTATGCAGCTCTTCAAACTCCCTATACACGTCTGGGAAGTAAGCTCTGGCTGAATGCCCTTTTTCAACCTAGAAACAAGCAAAAAAATAAAAGCTGTTTTCTCTCCATATTTTAAGATTAAATTTAAAATCTGTCAATTTGTTTTGCTCAACATTTTAAAATACTAACTATCAAGTCAAAAGAATACAGAACCTTCAAAAATGCCAGTGGACAAGGCAGAAAACAAGCAAGACTTTCCATCAAAGATCAGTTCTGCCTATAGGAAACAGAAGTGATGTCTAAAACACCTTAAATCTTCACACATCCAAGTCAGGAAATTGAGATACTCTCCAAAGGAGTCTTTGCTATTTATAGTAATAGCAGTCTCCCTCAAATAATTTAACATTTTTGTATTAAGAAAAAAGTCTTACCTTCATCAACAGAAATTCGTATACTGTTACAAGCTTTGTAAGACGTGGGAGAGCCAGCTCCATTAAGTCTTCATTATCGCATTGTTGTATTAGCTGTCAAAAAACATAATGAGTTTATCAGAGTAAAGTAGCCTACAAAGATTTTTCATCCCACGTCCCTAACATAAAATGTCACTACTTTTCAATAAGATGCAAACGCATCTTATAGAAACCTCAGATATGTTTCCATCAGGGTAATTTCTTTTTATATTTTAAACAGACAACATGTAGCATCACAGTACAAGAGGGATGTGGAACTGCTGGAGAGAGTCCAGCGCAGGGCTACAAAGATGATCAGGGGCCTGGAACATCTGCCCTATGAGGAGAGGCTGAGGGAGCTGGGCCTGTTCAGCCTGGAGAAGAGAAGGCTGAGGGGGGATCTAATCAGTGTATGTAAGTACCTCAAGGGAGGGAGTGAGGAGGATGGTGCTGGTCTCTTTTCACTGGTGGCCACCAACAGAACTAGAGGAAACGGCTGGGAATTGAAGCATCAAAAGTTCCACAGGAACTTAAGGAAAAAATTCTTAACAGTGAGGGTGACAGAGCACTGGAACAGGCTGCCAACAGAGGCTGTGGAGTCTCCTTCTCTGGAGATCTTCAAAACCCACTTGGACGCAGTCCTGTGCCATGTGCTCTAGGTGACCCTGTGTGTGCAGGGCGGTTGGACTAGATGATCTCTAGAGGTCCCTTCCAACCTTAAGCTTTCTATGATTCTATGATTCTACCAGTTTTGTAAAGCACTCGCTGCTAAAAATTCGAGCTAGAAATAAATTTGCTTGTTTTAGACTATATGTTTAAGCAGCTTTGAAAATCAAGGCAAGTGTGACACCAAAAGAGAAGGTAACAAATAAAAAAAAAAGCCTCAACAACAGTTTCTAATCCTCGTTTACAGACAATACTCAGTGCCACAAGTTATTGCATACTCATATCAAAAGAGGAGCAATGATAATAAATTTAGTAGCTTTAAAAGATCTTCTGTGCTATGAAGGAAAGAACTGATGGGAAAGGGGAGTAGTCATGTTAACTGCTTAGATTTTTAACCCCTCCTCCATCCTCTGCACAGAGCTTCACTGTTTTTTCTTTTTTAAAGAATATAACATCGCACAACCGCAGTTGTGCAGTATTTCTACTGTGTTGGAACAGACACACAGTAATACCTAGTAATTATTATTCTCCAGAAAAACAGTAGCCAAGAATACATCTAACTGTCAAAAGACCCTCTCTAGACCAAGATAACATTTCTTTTTTCTTCTCTGTTCTGGCAGAAGTATTTTTTTCCTTAAACCTAATTTAACATTTTCTTCTTGGTTAATATCTGAGGTATCATTTTGTCAGCTACTGAGAAAGTCGCAAAGGATTTCTGAAAATGCATCCTTGAAAACAAGTTGTCAAAAATAAAAGGAGGGAATGGGTATCTACTTCAGAAGTAATTACAGGAGAGAGCCATACCTCTTTCAACCTAGCTTTTCTTCTGAATACACTGTGCTCTGCTGACACGCTACTGAGGGACTTGGAGGGAGACTGAGCAGGTCTGCTGAGCCTTCCAGAACGTCGGGATCTTCCACCCATCCTTGGTCTGCCTCTTCTCTTAGGCCGTCTGTGTCTTCCAGGTCCTTTTGGCGTTACAGGTGTCCGGGGTCCCGAACTTGTCTCATTTTGCTGCTCTGCCAACAAGCACCTGCTTTCTGCAAGCTTGCAGGTCTTAAAGGAAAAAGGAAAACTGGTTATTCACCATTTTAAATACCGTTTTGAGGAAGGCAAGGTTTTATAATGGAGGTCTTCATTTGGAGAGCTGGATACATGCATAACTAAAAATTGCTGGGGAATAAATCCAACACATTGTAACACAGCTACTTCTGCAAGATATGCATACCATTATTTGTAAAGTTAGCCTTTTTGATCCAGAGTCATATGAAATTCAGAGATTAAAGGAATATGATTAAAGACTTACTTGTGCTAAATATATTTAATATTTTTAAAGTAAAATATGTCCTCTCCTAGCAAAGGTTACAGAAATAAGTCTTCACAGTACATCATATCCATCAAAGACAGGTTGGATTTTTTTAGTTACCACATCAAAGCATAAAGATTCTGTATGAACTAAGAACGTCACACTCAGTGACATATGAAGCTTAGTAATGAAAATTCAAATGCTCTTTTTCCCAAATTCCCACTGTTTAAAAATTCTCAACCCTCTCCAAGAGCATAGCTAAGAAATAGCTTCTGTAATAAGACTACAAGGCAAATTCAAAGTATATTTTCTATTTTTAAAATGATTACGACCTCAGTGCAAATAATGAAGCTATATAATAAAAAATATTGATTGATCAAAGCAGTGATTTTTTTTTACTGAATGCCTCTTTTCTTCCCTACCAAGCTAGAATTTCTAAGCATGACCCAGATCTTTTTTTAAAGTGATGACAGATTACAATAGCACTCAAGTAGTTCAAGCTTCTTTTCATAATCAGTGCATCTTCATCTTAATGTTCAATAGCTACCCACTATTCTACTAAGCAGGAATACAGAGATTAAATGATTAAGTTAGTTTTAATTATGACATAAACACATGCTGAGCATGGTCTTGTCTGCTTTCCTGTCTATCTGCAAGTTTTAATAAGCAATTTTTTTTTTTTTTAGAAAATATTTACTTAGCCAAAAGCTGTATCCAAATCAGCGAGTTAAGTGTGCAAGTTTGTAAAATCTGAATGGATATTGTTGAGCAGTGCAAGACTGCAAAATTTATATATAGATATATACCACTGAATGGACATGCTTTTATCTCCCTACCTTCAGTCTTTTCAAAAATACTTAATAGTGTCAGCAGGACTGCCATTCTAACCTCTATAACCCTCTCAGGTTTTCCTTTACCTGTTCTCCAGCCTGTGAGGCAACCACTTCTTCCAAGCCAACAGCTAGTTCATTTTCATTATTTAAAATGACAGCAACAAAATCTGAGCGTGCTGGGCTTCTAGTTTCCTCTCCTGTTCCACAAGCATTGTCCACAAAAATACTTCCATTAGGTTTATTTAACAGTATTTCTTGAGGTGAAGACTCCAGTTGTCCATGACCTGGATTAAGTTTATAATGTCTTGCTAATCCTCCTTTTCCTATATAGGATTTTTCACAAGTCTCACATTTAAACATTTTGGGTTTCAGATTATAATTTGAAGAACTGAATAACGCATCCTTTCCCTTCACCTTTCCTTCTTCATCATCTTCAATACTCAGTTCTGAGTAGTCATCAGAGTCAGACTGATGACCATCAGCCAAGTCCTCCATTTTAATGAATTTATAATCTTTAGCTTTATATTTTGGAGGCCGCGAAATCCGTCCAGAACGGGTTTTCACTTTCAAAGATTTTTTCAGTTTATCGCCTTTTTGTTTTTTTTCAAGGCATGATATCAGAGAATTTGTTGAATTGGCTGCAACCATGGCAATATTTGGAGGCCTTGCAGCTGATACTGTGGCACATGTAGTTCTCTGTCCATTTAGCATCTTACACTTGGGAATCTTGGTCACGGACACTGATCCATGAGGTGCTAAAGGTCTCTGCATAAGCAACTGAACTGCAGACTCTGAGGAACTATGGAGGGAAAGCTGCTGCTGCTCAGTCCCTGTTACTGGCTGTATCCTCATTATCGGGGGATTAGCAACGCCAAGTCCAGATACACTGGAATTTCTACCAGCCGACTGACTGAACGTTACAGTTTTAGACTGGGCTGGTGCCAACGATGGCATCGGCCTTTCGGCTTCCTTCATCTGTCCTGGTGGAACCTGGACACAAATGGCTTCCAGCTGCTGTTCGGGGAAAAAAAGAAAAAAAGAAAAGCACAGTTGAGATTACAAAAGCACAGTATTTATTACCAAAACACAATATTTATTAGGACCATACACATATGGCCTTAAAGCAAAGCATGATAAAACCAACAGACATTATTAGCCCTCCCTTTTATTAGCGTCAAAGCATAAGTTCCCTTCCTTCAAGCTACAGAATTTCCTGAATATTTACAGATGTGACTGCTGTTCAACTAAAGCCTTTCAAGCCTGGTCTTAGGACAAATTGCAGCTCTGTTCCTTGCAAACAGGGACTACCTGGGCTGAACCACAGCTGCTTAAATGATGCAGCAAATACCAGACCAAGGGCATCTCGTAACAAGCTCACAGCTCAAGAAAACGTGGACATGAACAGCAGCACAAGCCTTCTCCTCCTCCACACCATCACCTGTTCAACCTTGCATATCTAAGGATATATATCCATCCTGATGCAAACTGCCACCTCTGCTTAAGACAACCACTGCACAAAAAACTCCGACTCAGAGCTCAAGGGGCTTTTATAAGAGGGGCCGCATTATTTACCCGGGCAGCATCAGTTGATCAGTTTAAACAGCCCTCCGAAGGGACGACTGGCTGCGCGCTGAGCCCCGCGGAAACACCGGCCGCAGCGGGCAGGGTCTGCACCGGAACGCGTCTGCCGTAACCCACGCTGGGAGCGCCCCCCGACCCCGCCTCCCCCTGCG